GACCTGATGACCAAATTCCGGAAATATTTCAGCCTAGGAAACTCCAGGGGCAGTTCTACCCTGCCCTATAGGGTTGCTGTCAAAGGGAAGCAAGTCAGTGGTGCTTAATGTTATACTGAGCAATAACATTTCTAGTGCCTCTCGTGGTGTAGTCCCTAGTGAGGTGCACTGCTGACCCAAAGGCGATGCATCTCGGGAGTTCAAATCCACTAGTGGCTCCACAGGAGAAAGCTCAGCAATCTCCTCCCATTGCCATTTACAGCCTTGGAAACCAAATTATTGTAGTTGTGTACTGTCAAGTTGGAGCAGACCCAGAGCTGACTCTCCAGCAGTTCTCAGAGGCAGTAAATACCACCTGCCCAAGCAACCACACAATGCTCTGGTTTGAATGCAGTAAGAAGGCGGAAAATAAGCTTTATAATCTTCATGGCACCATAACTATCCTGATTTGTCTTTTGACTCTTCTCCTTTCCATATCTCACTCCACCTCTCACAGCCACTTCTTCCTTCAAGATATTTAACTGTAAATGGCAATATAGAGTCATATGTTGGTATCCTAGTTTTCATCTGATCCCTTTCTGATTTTATATGGAGCTTCACTGGAGGGTCTGGGCTGACATCTGTATTGCTTGTATTTATGAAGGTGCCCAGTACATACAGCCTTCTGAAAATATGGCCTATAAGGACATATTTGGAAGCAGGAGTGGCATCCACTTCCTAAAGAACATGCCTCTGGAAATGTTATGAACGATGATAAATGTCAATAGTTATAGAAAGGCTTCAGGCCTTTTGTTCATAGCATCTATGAGTTGTGCTCAACTCGAAGGCAATCAACAACAACAAATAGAGTAAATGGAGGCAGCATGGGAGGAGAATGCCCATCTTTCTCCCTTGGAGCAGCACATGGATTCAAACAGTCTGCTTTTGGGTTGACTGTGCAGCTTCTTAACCACTGAGCCACCAGAGGGTCACTATGAATCAGAGCCAACTCTAGCAGTAAGAAGCTGCGCTGTCATCCCAAAGGCATGGTTCAGGTCCACCTGGTGCTTCACGAGAGAAGGGTGGGCAGTCTCCTCCCATGCCATTTACTGCCTCTGAAAACCCTGTGGAGGGTCAGCTATGGGTTCTTCCAACTCGATGGCAAACAACAACAACAACAGCGTAGTGACTCCAGACTTGATTGTCAGGAGCAGTAAACTCTGAACATTTTTATTGCCACCAGTTAAATTTGTGTCTTGAGCCACCTCTGTGAGAACTGAGGGCGAAAGAAGGAAAAAACTCAAACCCCAATGCCACTGATTCAATTCTGACTTCGAGGGACCCTATAGCGCAGAGCAGAACTGTCTCCCAGCCTTGGCTGTCAGCCTTTATGGAAACAGGCCTTTTCTTTCTCTGAAAACTCACTCACTGGCCGTTTTGAATTATGAGATCTTCATTTAGCAGCCGAGAGCTCAACCTCCGCACCACCAGGGATTCTTGGAAAGAAAAAAGGGAGTTCAAATGAGTGGAATGAACAGTAGCCGAGTCAGGAGCACGGCTTATCCATGATCACATATTAAACTGCACAGTAAACAAGGGTCGCTCACACCCATGGAACCGATGCGTATGCTTGCAGCGTCTGCGTGTGGATAACTGAGAGAGGACGAGTGGTGGACACGCTGCCCACGGCACCCCGCTCTCCAATCTGCTCTTTAGCAGAAGCTTCTTTTCTAAAACTTTGGATTTAAGGATCTAGAAGGTGAACTTTTAACACTGCTCAGTGATTTTCTTTCTTTCTTTTTTTTCTTTTCTGGTTTCCCAAACTGCGGCTGTGTCCTCCTGCGCTGCCAGCCCTCCTTCAGGCCTCCCTCGCTCCCCTTGAAAAGAAATACCTGCGCTTCTCATTCCTCTTCTCTTCCGGTCTTACAGAGCGGTGACTCACTAGGGCACCAATTTAATGAAATGAAATTTTCAATCATGTTTGGTTTGATTCTAGGTGATACAAATAAAGACTTGCGAATGCTTTGTAGTCAGGTTTCAAGGGAAGGAGAAAGGTGGAAAGAAGAAAGTAGGTCAAGTGTAGTATCTGGGCCATGTCTCTTCATGTGCTGCCAAGGGACAGTTAGAAAAATGGAGAAATAATGGGGCAACCAATTTTACCTTTAGAGAAAGAAATAGGTGGCACCTAGGTGCCCTGAAATTCTAGGGTGGGAAGTTCGGGAGAAACTGACCGTGTTGTGACTGTTGTGTGTCATCGAGTTGACTCTGACTCACAATGACCCTATAGGACAGAGTGGAATGGTTCCATGTGCGTTCTGGGGCTTTATGGAGAATGTACAAATCTGTCTTGAAGGAAGTACAACTAGAGTTCTCAAAGGAAGGAGAGTGAATCTTCGTTGTATTTAGTGTGGACATGTTACCCAGAGGAACCAGTCCTTTGAGAGAGACACATCATTCTGAAAAGGCAGAGGGGCAGCCACAGAGGGGAAGACCCTAACTGAGATGGGTTGACACAGTGACAATGCTCACGGTCTTTGAGCATGACAAGGATTGTGAGTATTGTGCAGGAAAGGGCAAGGCTCAGGTCTAGTGCTGGTAGAGTCCCTATGGGTCGTAGGTGACTCGATGGCACCCAACAACAGTAATCTTTATGACAGCAGATTGCCAGGTCTTCCTCTCAAGGAGCCATTGGTGGGTTCAAACCACCTACCTTTCAGATAGCAGCCAAATGGCGTACCCATTGTGCCAACTGGGCTCAGGAAATTCTGACAGTGGTACCAGTGACCTTATGCATGCTAAGCACTCTTCCTTTCATATGTACTCTTGTTCTTGCATAACTTCTGGTTGATTTTGACTCTTAGTAACCCCTTGTGATAGAGAAACTGCCCCATCATATTTTCTTGGCTATAATCTTGGCGATAATGGTTACCCATGGAAGACAGTGTTTGGTGGAGCTCCCAGATTAAAACAGGCTTGGAAGCAGGAGTGGCATCCACTTCCAAAATAGCTTGCCTCTGGAAACTCTATGAACTTAGAGAAACGATGAAAGCTATTACAAGTGTTCAGATCTTTAATTCATAGGATCGCTATGAGTCATCTACGACTCAACGACACTAAACAACAACCACAACATAATCTTTATATAAACAGGTGGTCAGTTTATTTTCCTCTCATTGAGCTTCTGGGTAGATTTGAACCACTGAATTTTTGGTTAATAACTAAGCACTTAATCTCACTGTCATGGCTCCTTTAATGTGTATATAGAGATATAGATGTAGATTTTGAAGCTCTAGCTCACATACTTTGGACACATGGCCAGGAGGGACCAGTTCTTGGAGAAGAACATTATACTTGGAAGGGTAGAGGGACAGTATAAGAGAGGAAGACTCCGGATGAGATGGATTGACACATAAACTTGGCTTATTGGGGTAGATATGTCAGAGACTGTGAGATTGGCTCATGGTAGGGCCGGGTTCAGAGCTGTTGTACGTAGGGTCACTATGAGTCACAGGTGACTCAATGGCACATAACAACATTTGTAGATGTATATTGTTGTTGTTTGTCCTCAAGTCAGAACAGACCCATAGATGATCCTCCAGCAGGTTTTCAGAAACAGTAAGTCATGGGAGGAAATTGTCCATCCTTCTCCTTCAGAGCAACTGGTGGATTTGAACTGCATGCCTTTGGGATTGTAGCATAGCTCCTTACCACTAAGCCACAAGACATATATTAATTCAGTCTCTCCAGACTCTTAGAAGTATCATTGTTGTTGCTGTTGTTATGTGCCGTCAAGTCGCTTGCGACTCATAGCAACCCTATGTACAACAGCCCTAAACTCTGCTCTGTCCTGGGCCAATCGCATTGCCTCCAACACACTCATCCTTATTACCCCAGTCACTGAATCAGTCCATCTTCTAGAGGGCCTTCCCCTCCTGCGCCTGCCCTCCACCCTCCCAAGCATGATGTCCATTATTATCATCTCCATTTCGTAGACAAGGGGATAAAAAGGCATGGAGAGTTTTAACTTGTTCTGGGTTAGATAATTTTGGAAAGATGGAAGCTGAGTCCAGGAAAGTGGCCTTCAGAGCTTCTGACTCTCATGCCAGCCTGCCTCTCAGCTATGATGATTCAGAAATTCTGTGATTTCACAAGGTTACAGATTGAGATTATTTTTTAAATCTCAGTTAGAATCAAACCACTGTGCAGCTAGAAGGATCATTATTTGTCGCGTTGGTGACAGGATGGCTTGAAAAAGGTCTCAAGGAGAATCCTAGCCTTATTCTTACCTATAACCTATCTGTGTTTACTGCATGGACAACTTACCTGAGTGTAAGTACTCGCATTTCCAGCTTCATTGTAGCCAGAACCTTGCTCTACAATTAGTTAAAACCATTTTGTGATAATGAATCTCTCTCTCTAATATGAGCACTCCAGCATCCTGACGTTATGGGCTTCCTAAATGGAATTTTTGTGCAGCATGTTACATAAATACCAGGAATCCTCAGATGGTTCTGTTTTCCTCTCCCTCCAACTATTCCCCTTCTTGTGCCTCTTTGTCTCTTCCCATTTACTGGCAGGAACGTGACAGTCAGCTACCTGACCGCAGTTTGGTGGTGGGGGCAGAAAGAAGCCTAAAAAGGCTGAAATGGTAAATTACTGTAGGATCTGGAGAAAAATAGAAGTAGAAGCATTTGTGGTTCAGATGAAAATAGCACATTTCCTTTTTGCTTGCTCTGTGGGGGTCAAAGTCCTCCAGGGATTAGAAAATAAATAAGAATTGATCCCTTATCGGTCTAAGGAAATTCTTGGACTTTGGGAACTGAAATCACAGTTTTCCCTTTGAGGACCTGGTGAAAGCATTTTTGAAGCTGCTGAAGGGAACTTCCTGGCTAGGAAATTTCGTTTTCCAAGGGTGATTTCTACAGCCCTCTTCCAAGCCCAGCCACCAGCAGCAGAGCCAGTTGGGTACGTGGCTCTCTTGTTGTCCTTACTGACCATGGCCATCTCCTCTTTCCTTGCAGGTGAGAAGCCTTACAAGTGCTCATGGGAAGGGTGTGAATGGCGTTTTGCACGAAGCGATGAACTCACAAGGCACTACAGGAAACACACAGGTGCAAAGCCCTTCAAATGCAACCACTGCGACAGGTAAAGAGGTTTTGAAGCTGCCAGAAGTGGGAAGACTGTTGGTGATGTGGGTTGGTGGCTGGACTGTCCATTGGCTGGACCATCCACTTGCCACTGGAAGTATCACAAGTCTTTTCCATAGATACGGTGGTTCTGGGAATGTCTTTGAACCAATGAGATGAGAGTACCCTCTTGCTATAGCCAAGAGAGAATATGGATCCTTGGATTCAATATGAATTTGCTTTGTACTTGAGGAGCACCAATTTTGGTGCCGGAATTGTATTAACTAGTCACTCGGATGTAAGAATTGCAAGGACAAAGTCCCTGTCCTCAAGGAGGTGACTAGAACAAATAAAAAAACAAACAAGCAAACAAAAAAAAAAGAGCCCTAACCAGTTGCCAGGGGTGTCAGAGGAGAACTGCATGCTATAGAGTTTCCTATAGCTGATTTTCAGAAGTTGATCACCAGGCATTTACTCTGAGGCAGCTCTAGATGAGCTTGAACCTTCAACTTTTGCAGCGTATAACCAAGCATGTTAACTATTGCACAACCCGGAGACTCCAAATTAATATAATGCGGGGGGGGGGGGGAATAAAAGGATAGCAAGAGCCTAGATGCTGCTTCTTCCTGATCTTTTTATTAACATCAATACCACTTTCCTTCACCCTTAATAGTATGAAAGAATAGGAAGCTTGTTTAACAGAAGAAAGGGTTAGTTACACAGCTATTCTGTTATTCAAAGGAAAGAATTCCCTTTCTTTGGGGGGTTGAGCCATTCTGTCCTCCTGGAAGACAGGTGCAAAGGTCCCAAAGATGTCAAGGCTTTGAGGACTTTTCCTATAATTCAATTTCAAACCTTCAGCATTTGAGATGGGGAGAAAGAGCTTGTAGCAACAGATACTACCCAAGTAATAGTATCTGACAGCCCTGGCATTATCAACCAATAAACCCCCAAATGGAGACTGTACAGGCCAAGGTGAAGGCAGGATTCGGTTTAGACTTAATCAAATAATGGGCTTGCATCTGAGCGTGTTATCCTTCTAATCCTATTTCTGTGTTTAAAAGGAAGCTTGAGAAAATTAACCATCTTTTTAATGCAATACTAAAGGTCTCAGTTATGATGAGAAAAATGCTTCTAATACGATAAAAGCCCCTGAAAGCCTCAGGGTTCCCCAGCTTGGCCAGCAGCTCCTGGGGTGGCAGAGGGGATGTGCAGAATGTCAGCAGAGGCCTGCCTTCGTGGGGAGGAAATGCGATCACTTTCACATCCTGCCACCCTGGCCGCAGTGCCCGCATCCCGTTCATCCCTGCCACCCTCCCCAGGTGAGCGTGCACTTGTTTGGAGGGCAGGACAGGAGTGGCATGTGTCCCACAACCATGCACAGAGTTGGCTCAGGAGCTCCAGAGATACTTAGAAAGAAGCATTTGTGTTTTCCCTTCTCCCCCCGCCCCCCACCCCTTCTTCCTGAAGAGGCTATTTTCTTCTTATCTTCATTCTTGAAGAACTAAATAAAGGCGCATGCCTCCTGGAGCTCAGAGATAACCCTCCCACCCCAGGGCTGAGGAAGGGTGCTGCATGCAGCTGTTGTCTCTCACTCCCTTGCAGCTCCGTTCAAATAGCCCAGCAACAGTTTTTACTTGTTTTCTCCCAGTCCCATTAATCTGGAAGCTCTTGATTTCTCCTGAGTCAACCAGTTGCCATGGTGTTGACTCCAACCCGATGGCTGGAACTGTGCCCCATCGGGTTGTCCGTGACGGATCTTTTGCAGATAGACTGCTAAGCCTTTCTTTTTTTTTGGGACTGTGCTCCCAGAAAGTACATTAACCATTGGTACCACCAAAACTTACTGTCATCAGGTTGGTCTCGACTCACAGCAACACTTTAGTGGGTTTCCAAGGCTGTACATCTTAATAGAAGGAAACTGTCCTTCTTCCTCCCTTTGAATTACCAAGACACCACTTTTTGGTTAACAGTACATCACCTTGTGGACTAGGCCCAGGATCCTTTATTTGACATCCTCCCTCAACTTCCACATTGAGTTCTCCTGGTTCGTTCTTCTAGTCCTGAATACTAATGCATGACATTACCCACAGTCCTTGGAGGGTGACCATTCCCCTTTTATCATTGTGGACTGACATACATCCTCTGTGAATTGTTAGTTTGCTGATGTATACAACTGTTGCTGTTGAGTCGTAGGCAACTCATAGTGACCCTATGAATTAAAGTCCTCAACACTACAGATATACTAATGGGGAATTGTGAGCATGGGAACAGGAGGACATAGGAGTTCACTGCACTTGCGACTCAATCTAAAAATAATTTTGGCTCAATATTAATTTTTTAAAAAAGGAAAAAGGAACCTCTGAAAGGTGGTAAAGATATTACTTTGAAATTGTGGACAATATATTATGAGTTATAATCATCATTACACATGAGTGAAGAGTTCTTATGGGGAAATTTCTTGAATTAATATCTTTTCAAACTCACTGATATACTGAAGATTGTACCACCTTCTAGAATAATAAGTTGAGCTACTTACATGACTGCTATGAAGAAATATTTTAAAAGAGCTAGATATTTCAGTGAAAAGACTGGAAGAGATGGGTAACTTATTACCTTTAAAAAACATTCTTCGTTAAGATATACTTTAGTGTTTAGAGTTAGAGATTTACTTAGCAATGGGTACACATTCAGTGACAGGGTGTTGTGAGTGGGACAGGTTCCTGTGGCCAAGGCCAGCACTCAGTGGAGTGTTGCAAATGAGGAATTAGACTCTCTTGTATTTCATAACACATACCTTTCCCTTCAATCAAAGCAATTGTGCTAAGAATAGAGCAGGTCTGGGTCGTGGTATCAGGAATTGGAGTAGCCCCAAACCAGATGAAAGGAAAGCCTGGAATAACTAGGGAGGTGACATTCCTTAGAAGACTTTTACCTTCAGTGGCAGGGGACACTCGACACTCATAATTCTTAGCAGGACATGCTGTTCTATTGGCCCCATATGTGTATGAGCCCAAGAAACCAACGCCTTGTGCCTTTAAACTTGGGCATTTGACGAGGCTATTTAGAGACCCATCTAGGTACTTGAAGCATGTACTGAGTCTAACTTACATTTTCATTTTGCTTATACAGTAGTTTTTAAAATGCATGAGTTCTTTTTTTCTCCAAGGTGGGGAGGATCAAGTTTCAAAACTGTTAGATGTTACATAAAAGTACATATTTCTGGATCAGTCTGGAAAAATTAGATCTGGCAACCATGGACTCATATACCCCATGGTTATAATTGACTGGAGTTAAGTAGCGATCGTGACCCATTTTCGATGGTCGTGTGGTTGCTCATCTCCCACAGTTAGCACAACTCCCTACGACTTCATCAGTGAGTTGGGAGACCCTTAGCTGCCATGTCTCGCCATGCTTGCCTTGTGGTTTCCTTTTGCAAGAAGAACTGTAGCACTTTATTCCCTTGCCTTATCAAAAGTGGAAACAGGTAGTCCAAGAACGCTTTGTGTTTCTTACACTTGGCCACTGTACTTATTTACTTTCCTACCTGGTTTCTGTAGACACTGAATTTTGTGACCCTGCGGAATGAGTTGGAGGAAAAAGTAATGAGGCGACTAGGCCATTTCCATACTACAGGTCAACTGACTGACCAGCAGCTAAAGGGGTGACCAGTCTTGGCTCAGCCTATAGAGTGTGAGATGGCTACTGGTGGTCAGTAGAACTTTGTTTCCCTTTTAATGGCCATGGTTCCACCAACTCAGTGAGTTCTAAACCAAGGGGCTGCTGTTGGGGTAGTGCATCCAAGACCTTGGGGAGCTTAGAGGAAAAGGGGTGGAAGGGAGGACATGTTGATCATACAGATGATAAGACATACCCACTAGCATTTTCTCCTTCGGCCTCCTGGAGAATTGCCGTTGGCTTTGGAAGTATTGTGCCTCCCTTAATACCCGTGTACCCGGAGTGTGTGTTTTCCATAAGCATGAGAAGTGACTACAACTAGTTCTTGTAACCTACCAATTTGAATCATCAAAGGCTTTCTTACTTAAGGTCATAACACTGCTGTATAGTTATAAAGATCCTCTGGGGATGTATTACCCTTAGATTATTATTTGATTCTGCATTTCTAGATGCTGAGTTTATCTTTCACCTTTTACTATTCCTATGTGGAGTTCAGTAAGTGTAAATTAATAAGTATAAATTAATCATGACCAAGTATCTTGCTGGTATATTGAATTTAAATAAATACCTCAATATTGAGGGACCTAGTCTAATTCTAAGCATCATATACTTCCTAGGATTTGAGTGAAGAATGATGATAGTTTGATCTAGCAGTAACTGCAGGGGTGCAGTTACATTTCATACAATGTTAAAGGTTTTATTTGTATATTTTTTTACTATTCCTCTCTCTCTTCTCCAAAAGAATATGAATAGTAGAGTCAGAGGTTTGTTCAGATATTATCAATATAACCCAAAGTCAGTGATTGGTTCTTGTTGTTGGGCATCATCAAGTCAGAAATGACCCATAGCTGGCCCTCCAGTGGCTTTCCAGAGGCAGTTAATTGCACAGGAGGAGATTGTGCATCTTTATTTCATGGGGCAGCTGGTGGATTTGAACCACGTACTTTTGCTTTAGGGAGCTCTAGTGGCCTAGTGGTAAGCAGCTGTGCTGCAATCCCAAAGGCACCAGCTGTTCCGAGGATGTAGGATGAGTAATGTCCTCCATGCGATTAACTTCCTCTGAAACCCTGAAAACCCTCTGGGGGGTACTGATGGGTTGGTTCTGACTCAAAAAGTAGACAACAATAACAACAACAAGCCTTTCATTGACAGCGCACTTCCTCACAGCTGGGCCACCAAAGATCTAGAACATATGTGTACTGAGGCCTGAGAGTTAGAATGTAACAGGACTGACTTGCTTTTCCAAATATCTCAAGGTTTCTGCCATTGACACGGTGCAGCCCTCTCATTTCTCACTTTCTATTTATGGGAGAATATCTGTGTCTTCTCTGACAGGTTTCC